ATAAGTTGTCGTTTAAGTACAAAGTAGTATGATGGGTATGAAATGCACATATACTTTGTACTTAAACGACAACTTATTGGACATCCATTTTCGGAAAGACCCAACAACTGAAAGAACATTTAGGTGTCAGTGGAGTTTTCTGGAAACCAATGCAGTTTCGACATCACCCATTTCGAGTGACGTCAGATTTAGCTAACCACAAATGCGGTCTCCTCTCTGTGATGCCAAGATGTGATACTCAGCAAATGACATGGCTCATTTTAGCATCTCTTCAGACTTGCCAATGAAATTAGCATTGGAGAGGGTTTTCTACTAGCATATGGAAGGACTGGCTGACTACAGCTATGAAGAGGACGCCAGGCCACCATAGTGACGGCTAAGCATCAAGACAAGTATTTAAATGTTCAACTCTGACAAATGTCGTTTAGCTGGAGGGACGATGCTCCTGCATTTCTGACAAAAGCGTTGTGTGGAACGGGCGATGAACACACCATGTAGCTTCGTGGCACCACATGATGTTGCGCATCTGATCATGTGGCTTCGCTGTTAGGTTAATGTTCTCACGAATGGCACCTCGTAGAACAGCTACGGTCGCTATACAACCACGCCTAAATGCATGTAACTTGTGGATCTACCAACAAGTGCCTGTGAAATCTATTGTCTTCCCCACCTGATGGTGTGTAGTACGTGAATTTTAACCTTCTTTTCTCAGCAAGCTTTAAATGCCTAATTATGTTGAAATGCTTTTGTAATCACCATTTCACGTCTTACAATGCTTCGGCTAAACAACCACATTTTGAGATACTTGTGAATGAAAACAGGATATTACCAATTGTCGGTAATTATCCTGGAAAGTGGAACAGGTTAGTTTGCAGTGTCTACTATCGGAATGAGGACTAAACTTTCATTATAGCATTTATGGAGGATAGTTAGCATGCTTGTGTTCAGTTCACAACTTGCATTCACAGTTATATTAATTCGAGAGCACGTTACTTCCATACAACGTACACTTGATTGGTTTCCACAGCATCTGTTACTCGCGGCAGTATGTATGTACGAATGACTTTCCCCAACATGGATTAAGGGCCACAGCAGCAGCAGTGTTTGCAGAGGCAGAAATCGCACTCCCAACCCCATTGCCTAGTAATGTCGTCTTCATGCTACTTACCAGACCACCAGGGTCATTCGCCAAGCTCTCCCACCCATACTGCTAATCATTCTTTCAGGCTCACCTTCCTTCCAACCTAGTCTCACTCAATTACCGCCGGTGATGCAGAACTCAAGACCAAATTGGATGTCCGAATTCCACCAGATCTCAGTCAGTCTACTGTTGTGAGTCGCAACAGATTCAGCTGTCTGCAGCAGATGTAGAAGATTGATTGCTATATCCCACCAAATTAATCTAGATTGTGATACATTCCTCCCCAATAGGCGGCACTTGGTGTCGCCTGGAGAACACTCGCCTCATCAGAAAGAGACAATGGAATGGGAGAATTGCTGGAATAGCAGGAATGGGTAGAAAGCTATGTCATTGGCGTAATCGCTGCTTTGTATGGTAAAACATGCACTCAAAGCATGTGCCATTATTATATCCACCTAGGTTAGTGTCATTCTGCCAGCACAAACTGCATCCAGCAAAACCTCGCAAGTAATCCACAAAATTTAGTTGTCAAAAGGAAGAAAATGAGTGGTTTATACACTACATATATTTAAACAGCTTGGCATTTTACCACTGTACACCACTGGAATTCCTCTACTAGCAAGGAAGAAGCATGTTAGTGGAATTTAGTGAGTCCCTTATCAGACAACTAAGGAGTCATTGGACCTGGTCCTCTGCCACCATTTGGACATGTGGGAATGGGGACTTTCCGAGGTCGTCTGAGGCTAGACTGACGCCATGCAGTCGGCACAAGGAAATCCATCTGCATACCGCCTTCACCGGATTCTCTGATTAACTCCTCTTCCTCCTCCACGTCACCCATCGCTTCGATCACTTCTCCACCCTCCATGTGGTTGGGCGCCTCAAACAGGTCATCTCCAAATTTCCGCGCTGCCTCGCCATCCGACACCACGACGGCAGAGGCGCGATGCGAGGCGAATGCAGGGAGGAGGAGGAGGAGGAGGAGGAGGAGGGGAAGACACACCAGACTGGAGTGTAACCGCATGCTGTGGATTGGTGGTGTTAATGGTGACCACGTATGAACATGGTGTGCACCACCTGCATCACACATTTATATACTCAGTCAAGCGTTCGTTTAACTTTCCGCAGGCACTGTTTATACGAGTGGGTAGCTCCAATGTACACAACTATTCTCTCTGATAGCAGATGCTGTGGAAGCCAATCAAGCCAACGTCATTCGGTACACATTTGTACCGATGAATGCGTAAGTATTGGTGCTATGTGGTGAGCCTCACAGCTGAGAAGGATTGTCATCCTCCTGATGATGAATACGTATGAGCCAATGTGCTCAAATTAACACAGTCATATTAAATACATTCTACGAATGATACCTAAATACTGTGTGCTGCAGGCACAACCACTTTAGGATAGAAGTGTTCAACTCCTCACTTCACTAAGGGTGTCGAAGTGAGCGTTAACTTTGGCCATTACAGTGGTTATAAAAGGAATATATACGCTGCTCCCTTTTTAATTTTTAAAAGAATAAACGCCTGAAAATAGTTATATGTGAAGTGGTGATGCAGTCTGGAGTCCGATTTACTCCTGAAGACATCTGAAGGGCATACAAATTGAAATGTCCCACATTGAAATTGTACAAGAGGCATGCGTGTCTACTTACATAGCTGCATGGCACCAGCATAGTATCCGAAGCATCGGAGACCAAAACACTCACCAAGTTCAACATAGCCCCTATGGTCGTCTTTCTTGGCACTACCTGCAACAGCGAAACTGTGTATCACCATCGCCATGAGATGACGTCCAATGCCAATGGTGATCCTCACCGTGGGTAGCGCTGCATGTAATCTCCTGTCACATTTTGCCCTGACGTGACTCTGTTTGGCAGTGGGCGCATTCCGATACCTCATTCACTTCTACCACTTTATAAAGTCTCGATTTCACCATGAAAGGCAGTAATGAGGCAAGGTCAGAGGAGAATGAGTTGATGAAATTACATGAAGGACTGTTTCCGGCTTAGGTATGAACAGGACGACACATGTCATAGTCTGAGTAATTGGTACTCGCATTTTGATTAATGCCCTTCAGTAGATGTTGCAACAAACAACCAATGTGTCTAAGGGATATGCTGGCAAGGGACACGGTACTCTACCATCCAACCCAACTCGTCGCATGTGCCAGCACGAACAATGAAAGGCACTCTCCCTATGTTGCATGCGCGTCGTTCATTCTGACGAATTTCGCGTGCAGTGCCATAGTCAACTGCTGAAAGAGACAAATTTCGGAAATGGTGCCCAAGGACTAGCAGTGTTCCATAATATCGTACTTAGTATGCCAGTCGTCTTTACCCCCAAAGCGGTGTGCAACCTTATGCTCTCTGATCAGGATATAAGTAGTTAAACTAGGTCACAGTTGTGTTTCACGGAGGCCAATGTGGCCTAGACTGCACCAGTTGCCAGTCAACTCCGTTTCAACCATCTACAACAAACGCCTCTCAACTGTTACACTTAGACGCGATATTCAGTAAATGACATGACGCATTCTAGCATTGGAAGGTATCTCTGGAGACGTGCTAATGTAAATCGGTATGGTAGAGGGTTGTCTGTTGGCATACAGAAGGACTGGATGGCTATATCTGTGTACAGTACCCTATGCCACTGGGAGGGTGATCAAACGTCAGAGGCTGAGCATCTCAAATATAATACGATGATGGTTTAATCCTCGGTATTGGTGAGGAGCCACTTTAGAAATTTTAAATTTACCTTCTTGTACCTCCCTAGGTGGGCTAGCCTTGGGGTCATGCCAGTACCCCAAACACCTTCTCTGTGCTGAATACACATATTCTGCCCTAGTATAGTGTCTCCTCTCATCTTCAGGAAGTCTTGGGACACTACATTGGTGCAGCGGAAAGTCAACTTGATCCGAAAGGTTATGTATCCTGATTTTCACTGCCGCGTGATAAGCCTCAGCGGAGTAGAAGAAGTGCATATGCTACGAATGGAAGAATGGTGATATTACCTAGTAGAAGGGTTGAAGTTGACGTCCACCTTAGCCATCTATCCCAGTCTCGTGTTCTGCAGGAAAGCTATTAACAACTGTAGCGACACTAGCCATGAGCCATCTGGAAGTTTTGTTGCAGATTTCCCCTATCCTCTAAAGTGGTAACAACGTGGTACAGACCCGAAACCCCCCTTGGACCTACCAGTGTTCCTACAGTTATCTATGGACAGACACAATGACCAGTGCAATTCCCCATTTTTCAATCAAGTTTCCAAACTGGACGAAACTCCAGACCCAATTAAGCTGCCAAGAGGGATCAGTGACGTTGGGGTCAAGTATCTCCTCAGTTGCACGCTAATTTGGTGACTGGCGCGGTCAGCTCGCGGGTGTTTCTCTGCAGCGCCGACTACGTTGTAATGGCTGACGCAGGAAGTTGATCCGTGGGAGCGCAGAGGACGACGCTCAAAAGAGGGGGGAGGCTATGTAATACGATGGGGGTTTGTCCCTCGGTATTGGTGAGGCGCCACCTTCGAACTTTTGAATTTACCATTTTGTACCTCCCTGGGTGGGCTGGCCTTCGGGACATGCTAGTAGCCCATACACCTTCCCTGTGCTAAAAATATATATTCTGCCCAAGAATCGCGTCTTCTTTCGTCTTCAGGAAAGTCTCGGAATGCTGCACAAATAGCCAGGTGTGTGACAGAAGAGATACGCGTTTTGTGCACCTGGGGAGTAGGTATAATGTTAGGTAAGTGGTTTGCATCAATTTCAGAAGATAACAGAGCCTAATTTATATTAATAAATTTGAACCATAATTCAGTTAAACTGTGTCGTATGGATGCAGTATTGTGTTCTTGGCAGAGTGAAACTGTTTGAGAAGGAACAACTTGTTAGAAGTCGAGACTTCTTTTATTGACTTGAAGTGGAAATCCTTCTCAATTGAACAACTTTGTAGAAAAAATATTTTCGCATGTGTTTGAGTAAAGTGGTACTCACTTAGCGGCGGAAGGTAAGAATACCACTAAAGCAGATCAGACAATATCATGGTAATAAATCAAGAGCGATGGACGTCAACGTTAATGCATTTTCGACAATTCCTTTCAACTTCGAAGTCCCTAGAGAAAGCTGGAAAACCCTTAAGCACAAAAATCCGAAATAACATTAGCCTTGCTAAAAGGCTGGCACACAAAACATAAAGCACAGAGGTATCAAAGTTCCCAGTTAGACTACACACTTTAAGCCTTCTCAGCTTTCACGCGCAGTAGTTGAGCTGCACCAACTCGGTGTGCTGGGATGGATAGTGACAGGTTTCTGAAGCTATTGCAAAATGATTTCGATGAAAAGGTGTTCGTGTCGAAGGTATTTGAAACGAACAATCTGCTGGAGCCCCTTAAAATGGTTTCAGAAAGACTGTCTGAGTAAGAATGGCTGCAGATGATATTCGTGACATTAATCATGCTATAGTACTGCATAGTGTGCACATCTTGTCGACTTCGCACTCACAATGTCTAACATGAATCCTTAGAATATTGCTGTAGTGACGGCTGTTAGGTTTAGTCCATTTCGTTGGTTTTGTGTTCTAACTTTGCTAAATGAGGTGCTGCATGGGATATTTCAGACTAGACGCTTCGATTTCTCAGCATGTGTCCAAGCATAACAACGAACTGCTCAATCAAACCGTGGAATTGGAGAACTTTTCTAATATTGTTGGAAGTGTTGAGTCTCGTATCATGAGCGTTTCTGGAAGCGTCAATATGATCAAACAGAGAATTGCCAAGCACTACGACCATCTTAGCACTCAAGTAACTCTTATTCGCCGCCTAGGCATCGTATATGAAGCTTTGCGGGGTATCCTTCGTATATCCTCAACTTCGAGAAAACTGCATGGTTTGTATTCTTACGTTCTCTTTAACGTTTAGCGTCTTCTGACATTGTACAGTCATCTGAATGTATAGAAGAACTAGATTATACATTCAACTTGGTGGAGTGGAAGGGGATAACCGTCTTAGAAGAGCAGCATAAGGATGTAGTGAAGGAGAAGGAGCGCGTCACTAGGGAGGCCTGGGAGCTGGTTCATACCTCATTCAAAAGTAGAGATCGAGCTGGTTTGGGCCTTGCGTTACAAGTAAGCTGCGATAACTCACCTGCTTCACGCTTCATTTAGGCATTCAACAATTTGTCCGTGTTACCGAAAGTTATTCAAGCCCTAGTTTCTGATTGGCAGACAGAAATCGAAAGTGCGGTGAAGTCTTCTGCAGATGTCGAAGACCTCAGCAAACGAGCGAAAGGAAAGGTCATTTCATCGTTAACTTCAACCGCACCAGGTAGATCAACTGCTACTCCACAATATTTGCTTCGTCACCTATGTTCCTAAATACTCTTTGTCTCTCGCACTAAGGCAAAGCTTCATTGCCCAGTGGTGGTGGTCATTCCGCAGCATTTCGAAATCTTCTTTGGGCTGGATTGGACCAAATGGTCGGAACTCTCGACCAGTGTTTAGCTCAAGTGCGTATGCTGTGTGTCATACTGAAAAAGAAACGCTCATCTGCAGGAAATGCCTCGACGTCCACTACTTTGTTTAGTGGTCTTTGCAATTACCTTTTAAAGAATCTGGATAATCCAGATGAAAGGGATTGCTGCATCGCGATTATGATGGTTCTTTATAATGAAGAAAGAAATTGTGCCAATGACTTTGGTAAATTTCTCTATAAATTGTCGATTATCTTGACTTCACTTAAGTTTTGTCGAAAATAAGGCAACTGGCGAAGAAGGTTGATTCGTGCTTGGCCGAGGTGTGTTCTGATGGCCTTCTTGGTTGGATTGTTACCTGCCTGAACGCTATCTTTGAACCAGCACTACGTAGGCGTTCGGGTCAATTGAAGGAAGCCCTTGAAAGGGACTACCCACGACTGCTGAAGCTCTTTCTTAACATCAGCGATCAGCAGCAGCTACTTTCAGATCCCATTAGGAATTTCTTGTCTCCCTTTGAAACTGCCTATCTTGGTCGCTGCTTGACGCGTCTTTGTGATCGTGTCAATTCGACTTTTGCTGACGTCACTACCTCGGAAAGCAATGGTGAAAATCTTCCAAGACTCATCGATGCTGAGCGGATGGTGCAAACGGTTGCGACAGAGCTGGCGCATTCTGCTGCTGTGCAACGAGAACTCTTCTGCAAGGTTTGTTTGCAGACTTGTCGCCCTTACGTTATCCAATTTTCCCCTATCTCTAGATTACTTGTAATGTGGCAAAAATGGTGGCTCTTTTCTCAACCAAAGTCGAAGCACTAATCATCACAAGCCCTGAGGCATTCCAAGTGTCTGCTGATGGATTACCCACCACTGCACAGCAAAAGAATGCCCATCTGGTAAATTTCACCTGCACCTTCGTTGACCGGCTCCGAATAACTGTCGCGGGACACGCCACTGTTCAACAGCAGATGTGGGAGTGCAGAAAGTTGGGAGTGGAGGATCCTCGGGCAATTATTGATAAGGCTATCGTAACTGAGCTCTCCAGCGTCTGTCTATCAGCACTTGAACCCCTTCTCAAAGCCATTAAAGATTACATTCTCGATTATATCCTACCCAGGATGCACAAGGAAATCCCCGACGGCGATGAGGATCCACCTTATGTGCACGATCTACAGGTATGTTTAAAAAGCGTTGCTACTGAATTTCGATACTGTTTCTCCGTCTACAGGCATTTATTAACCGAATGCGAACTGAGTATTTGACGGGCTTCTCAGTCTCCCTCTCCACAACGGGCAGCGGCTTTCGCTCAGCAGACAAACCGATTTTCACCTCAGGGGAAGCTGCGGTTCGTACAGGCCTCCAAACCCGTGTTCTACCTCACTGCCTGGACGCCTTAGCCGTGCACACTAGTCTCTTTCGACCATGCACCAATGAAGCGCAGCGCTCTCGCCTCACCACTAGCAGCGCCGCCATCGAGATGGCCCTAGCCACTCTCGCTCCGCCCTCTGTCTCCACTGAGGGCGCTTTCGCTCGTTTGCGCACCCTCCGACAACTCTTCTCCCTCCCTACTGAGGATATCCTCTCCGTGAGTCTCATCTCCCTTTCCCTCTCGACTCTCTTTCATCTCAGTTGTCTAAACGGTGTTTTACAATCAGATGAGCAAATCGCAAGGGCTGGCATTGTTGACAGAGAGCAGTCGCAGAGCAGTGGGTTTGGGTGACGATTGTCTGCCAGGCAGTCTGGTGCTTCACCACGTAATCGCGCGCTCTCCAGAGGAAATCCCACTTCCGCATCAGACGGCCTCCGGTTGGAGCCTAGACCGCTACATCCGCTGGTGCCTTTTCACTGCGGACGAGGCGACGCGATTGGCCTTTATCACCAAGGCGCTGGACGTCTACACCGAGCAGGTACAGGAGCGCAAACAGCGAACCTATCCGCCCATCTACTTGGTAATTCGTGATCTCCTCGAGTATTATTTGCATCAGCAACAGTAAAAGTAAAGATATCACTTTTTATTTCCCATTAAACCTGTATGTCTTTCGTGAAGGTAATAAACGTTTTCTACGCGAATCAGATATTTATTTTTTGTTAAAATCCTCTCGTGAACTGGCGGACGTGTCACGCATTTCACATCCTGGTGCCTGAGACTTGACCCTACAACCCTGGTGAAAAAAGTTAAACGATGGATAAGGTGATACTACCTGAGAACGTAATAAATGCTTTGATATCGTCCAATTGAAAAAAAAATGCCAAACATTCTTTGTCCAATATTGTAAAAGATATTTTGGATGTCCTGGTGGCATCATTTTCTGACACATTCCTTGGGATAATAAGGCAGTGTCAGAATCAGTCCACAACCGGTGGAAATCTTTCAGTTGTTTAATACGGCCTCTCCAGCAAATATCTATTCAGGCTAATCTGAAGCATATGTGGAGCAAAAGTACGCTTCTGGGATGAGCAGTTTCAACCCACCTTGACTAATCCGAGAGTAAGTTCAGATCTCACCGCCGGTGGCGAATGCTGAAAGATTTTCCAGCCAGGCGAAGTTCATTTCTAGCCAGGTGCGACGAAGAAAGATGAAACCGGACTCAGGTCAATAATTGCCCTGACTACGTTTATCACAACTTCCGAATTTGTGCTTTAGTTACGGTGGTAAGTGCGCCTAAACCCCTTGGTTAATTGGTTCTGAAGCAAACTTTTTTTGCCTTTACAATTTAATAAGTGGGATAACCTAGGTTTCGGAAATTACTGGATAGGATCGAAGTCATTAGGATAAAAACGAGAAAACAAACTAATAGCAATGCCGCTTGTTAACTACTTGATTAAATTTAAAGCTGGGATGGTAACGCAGACTCCATCTCTGTCCCATATGCGAAAAATACATTGCAGAACAGGCCTTTTGCCTGGGCCGCCGGGAAGGGCGAGCATAAATCCCCAAAATTCGACCGTCTGACAACCTTTCTGGGGCCACAGAAGACATCTCGAGTCCCATCGACGCTGTCCGCTGTTATTTCCCATTAAGTAGCAAATTGAGTACCGGACTACGCTCACTCAATGAGATCTCTTCCCATCGGCAACTGACGTACAAACGGCCTACCCAAATTACCTACGCGATGCATGTAACGCAGGGCCGAAGACCATCAGTACATGAATCGGTGATCCCATGTAGTGAGGAGCTACCCTAAGGCCGATAGGCCCACTCCACATATGAGACTGAATTCAAACTGTGAAAGTCTTCCCAGAAAAATCGCCGTATTACCAGCTGCCCCTGGTTGCTCATTATATTCGTAAGGCATGCAACGTGCAGTGCACCAGCGATGACTAGGGGGTTCCAAAGAGCTCAGTAAAGGCAAATTATATTAGTGCAACTTTACGTCATGCTTAGCAAAACAAGAACAGTCGCAGTTGACAGTGTCCAGAACATCAACCCACACTTGTGTAATCACCCATATCCGTACTTTCAAACTTACTGAACGGGTAACGAAACAGGCCAGACATCCCCCCGATTAGTTAGGCAACCCTGTTTAGGCAAAACAGTAAATAGGGACAGCTACCGAGCTGAAAATGAAGGAGAAATGTGGGTACCACTACGCAGTCACTGGACCAAATCTGATGTTGGAACAGTAATGATACAAGTCCTAAATATTTTTTTCGCCGAAAGGTTGGCTGAATTAGCTTCAATCATGAACGAAAACCTATAGAAACTAGTACACTAGTAAGCATAACGAGTTCTAGCACAAACCCGAGTTAGTACTGCATCAAAGTATCCAAATTCCATAAACGTCTGAGGATAGCGAGAGAAACCCAGTACTACCAGCAGATGACAAAAGCCAATAATGGAGTACACAAACATGTTACAATAATGTTCAAGGATATGTATAAAAGAGTTGCTTATCGTCGTATTCTTTCTTGTCGTTCACGCACCCTTCGAAGATCGCGATCAAAGGAGGTCTCGCGGCGGCCCCGATCATGACTCCTTGAACGCGATCGATGGCGTCTATGTCTATGCCGGTCGTGAGAACGCGAGCGAGAATGCGAAGAGCATTTTGCCTGCTCGTCATCATAGTCCCTGTATCTGATGACAGCAACAACAAGCAGAGGTGTTGGAAAGACAGTAAGGGAAATAAGATATTGGTAATTATGTGATCAGTTTACTTCTTTTTGTCCCTGGAGTATCGGTCTTCTGAGTCGCTACGGTTTTCTCGATCGTTGTACCTCTGCCCACGAGCAGCCTCTTCTCGCAGCTGTTTTTGACGACGAAGTCGTAACTTCTCGTCAATTTTCTTCTGAACTGGAACCGGTATTCTAGGAAAGAGGGTGGAGAACCAGTCGAGTTTCGTGAGCCACTGCCCCAGCATAGCCCCAATCGTCATACTGCAACCACCACCAGCTCTGACATCAATTTCCTGGGGGGAAAAAATACACAATGACCATAAATAGACTCAGCAAAACCAATTAATTCGGTTGAAGCCCAGTTCTTACGCATAATGTAGTTACAGCTGGACTCGCGGCGTCTCAGAGGCCAGTGCTGCAATATAAAAAGTGGAAAATTCACGCACCTCTTCATCGTCAAGATATGGTGCAAACCACATCCAAAGATCCTCCGGAGGCAGGCAATATCTAGGCAAATGAATTCAAGCGGACCACACGCACGTACCTGATGTACATAAACCCCAAAGCACGAATATACGGTGAGTCTGGATGCTCCAAAAGGCCTTTAAGTTGTTTTCTCGTAAGTTTTAACGTGAAGAGCTTGAAGAGAAGACAGTAGGCAGTAGAGACAATTCCACCAGCGCCAACACCGCGCACACCTCCACACATTCCCGTCTGGCCTCCCATGCGGCGACTGTTACGCTCCCAAGGTTCTAAGTGTGTGACCTAACCATACAATTAATAAAGATAACACGTGATACCTTATAATAAATTTCGTCAATAACCTCGTGGTAGGTTTTAAGCTCAATTAAATTAGTCTTGAAATAGGGTGACTGTATGATGTTTGTATGGATCATTGGGTTTATATTCATTGTGACTTGATTGCCCCAAAGTTTAAGGATATTACCACGCGGCTTGAACTCTTCTTCCTCATCACTCTGAATAGAACCTTCTTGAGGGAAGCCACCAGTAGCCATTTTCGAAATCAAACAAACACGAAAACAAATGAACGGCTTCAACAGTCCAATAGAAATTAGGAGGTTTTAGTGATTACTACTTGTTATAAACAACAAGTAATATCCAATGCTGCCATTCATTACAAAATAAGTTTTTAATTTGGGCCTTTTTTTAAATTTTGTCAAATTCAGATTTTTAAATAAATGTGGTAGGGTGAAGAGTATATATTTCCTAATGTTTACAACATTGAATTGATTATTAAAAGTCATTTGGCTCAGAGCCTTAACTTTGACTTGTATAAAAGGGGAAGTTCTTTGGTCAAATTTGGCAATATAATTAATGGGATCTTTCTGTCTACCAAACTTCGTCATTGAAATTCTGTATCAAAAATGCTGATTTTGAGAGGGTCTAATAAATTGCTCATGAGGTTAGCAATGTGCAGGAAGTACAGGATTATGGGATTTCAGCCTATTTTTGGCAAAATCACAAGGTCATATGGCTCAATATCATGCATACCTGAAATTCGCATCATGCTGTATAAGATATCCAGTAGTACAAAACATCTCCAGCAAATAGATATATTAACGTAAAAAATCCCGCAAAGTCCTCATTGCTCCTGATGGCATAGAATCAAAACATTTATAGACTGGTGCTGTAGTCGATTGATTTCCTCTACAAAGAGGATCCACACAACATGGTGCACGAGCTCATAATTCGCTTTGGATCGGCGAAATCTATCAGAGGTTTGGAAAGGTCAAACGTTATCACAGTCATGGTCTTAGTCTGCAAGATTGCAGTGCAGATGAGAGTCCGGAACTCAACCTCTGTAAGGTGTACACGCAGCTAAACTTCACTCTTCTGGTGTCGTCTCGTATGCAACTATCGTTATTGGATATGTTGACACTTGTCTTCATTTATGGTGCTGCCCTATATCTTCTACGTATGTTGATATCTGAGGTGGTGTAATACCTATGTTGTTTATACAGACCTTTTAGAGAGGAAGCGGGTAACTGACTCGAACCTCACGATAGAGGAGCGATCAGAAGCAGAAAAGAGACTAGTACCTTGATTTCCCTAAACCTGTACCGATTCACGTTGACTCAAGTCAGCATCGGTTTTCAAGCTATATGAAGATTATATGGAAGGGGATAAATGAGAAAAGCGCTATAATGATATTATGGCAACATTTGACCCACGTGGGAACCAACTCAGTCCGTATAGCTTCCAGAATTAAAACTAGGTACCCGAGGACAGCTTCTTGAAACACCTTCTTTGTTGCAATACTTGAAGCATTGCAGTATATACCACTTCCTATTATGCTACAAAGATGGTAGCATAGTGGACTTATATGACTTTCTTTCCCCTTTTCAACTATCGGAAGTGCATACTGATGATCAAACTGAATCAGCCTTTACGATGACTGTCTTAATGCAAAACATCCGCACCTATGCAGCAACAACATGCTCTGTTGAAGTGTTACCACTGCTTACACTGTTGTTGGAAGTTGCTGCCTTCTTAATTACTTGCTTCCCTTCTGCTGTAATGGACAGTATCACGGAAGTAGAATTCAGCCAAGAAATTCGTGGTGAAGAATTACACCTGCAATCTATTACCCATGCGCACATACACACAAACGAAGCGAGCGTGATCTATTAAGGATGGAATGTTGAGTGCTAGGGCAATGTAGGATGGATGGCAGGTGAACTATTTGGGACTGATCAGTGATGCATTAGTCCACTTAACGAGATTCGGG